TGCTCTTCTGCCAAGGGGCAGCCACAGCCTGGGAAGCTCGTCCCAGGGAGCATCTTTTCCTTCCCTCTGCAGGATCCTACAGCTCGTGCCCCGGGATGTCCGGCGCATCCTCTTTTACAGCCGCTAGACAAACGCGCGCGCGCACACACACACACGCACGCACACGTATGCACACGCTCCCAGCCTGGCATTTCCCGAGCCTTGTGCCTGCGCCTCGGCAGCAACAGGAGCAGGAGCCGTTCACAGACCCCCCCCACCCCTGCTCGCTGGGGCTGGGGGCTTCAAAACAGCCCAAAGGGACGTTTGCCCCATCACCCCTCTTTTATGCTGTGGCTGCTGCTGTGCATTTGCCCTGTCCCCAAACTCGGGGATGTTTTAGATTTCACACCCTGCCGAGATCTCTGCAGAGTCCCCCCGCTGAAGTACAGCTGTGTCCCCCGGTCATCAAATCTCATCCTTCCCTGGCTCCTCTTGGCTCTCCCAAACTGCAGTACCAGCAGCGAGGACAAAAGTCACCCCAAGGCAGCTCCTGTCCCTGCTGGTGGCCCCAGGGTCATACTGTGCCTGGGACCCTGGGACGGTCTGGCTGGTGCGTTTTGGGCATCCGGCGGCTCCTACACCTATCACTGCTCCTCTCTTTTTTTTCCCTTTCATTCGACCCAATTTACTTCCCGCTTTGCACTCCCAAGGGCAGGACACACGTGCAGGCCCTGTCCCTGACAGCCCACACGGCCGCTGGGCCACGGCACTGCCAACGCGGGCGGCCGAACGCAGCAGGGTTCGGGCAAGGCAACCCACGTCAGCTGTGCTGCGTCCTAGTACCTTATATGGGTGCCTCGCGGGTCTATATTTTGGGCTGAACTTTTCTGCCTTTAGGTTTTCCAGAGCTGCAGTAAAGAGATACTCGAGTAGCCCCGACGTGCCCCCGAGCCCAGCCTCTCTAAAGGCTCTGCGGTTAAACAGGAAACAGGCAGCAGTAAGAGGATAAAAATACATTCGGTGCAAACAAAATGTCTCTATGTCGGGATTAGGGAGCTGCAGACTGTTCCGGCCCGGCTAATCGGAGCCGGCAGTGCTGCCAGGCAGACGGAGGGGAGCGGGGCCAGGCATCCAGCAAGGGTTTGGTTTCCAGGCACGTGCATAACCCAAATGCTTTCAAATCATCAGGTGGCTGTGAGGCAGGAGAAGGGAGTGAGGGTCCCCATCTCTAACTGATGGTGGCAGTCGAGGGGACAGAGCTGCAGATCCGGGGCGGTCCAGGTGCTCCACGGGAGTGAGGGACGCCAGGGGAGCAGCCAGCCCCTGCCACGGCTCCCTGCGGCTCCCAGTCCCGAACAATAGGCACCTTTGAGCGCCGCGAGCGTGGGGCTATGGCGCGACCCCAGCACACGAGGCCCCAAAGCCCCTCCAAGCGCAGCCTAAGGAGATTATCGCTCCTCACATGACCTCGCTTGGGCCCCAGGGCCTTGCAAACCAGCAGGGAGGAGGGGACGCACAGATGACACAAGCGCAGAGAAGGAAACCGAGCTCCCGGCCCGCGTCTGGGAGGCCGACGGGCCCAGCCAGCACCCTGCGACAGTCCCCACAGGTCCAGCCCGGGGCTCTCTTGGGGCTTATCCAGACGGTGCTGGGGAAAAGGCGCTTTCCAGGATGCCGGGCTGAGCAAAACACACTGGTTCAGAGCGTGAGGGATCCCCAAGGCGCAGGGATAGATAGAGATATTTTAAACAGCTCATTTGGAGCCCTTTCAAAGCAGGCACTGACCTGAAAAAGCACAAACCCCAAATGCTTTACCCTCATGGTGCGCAAAATACCCTGGGTGTTCGTGGAAGGGCACGGTGGGACATCCCCCCCGCCTGCCCTTGCAGCCAGCACGCACACCAGCCCATCAACCGCTGCCCGGGGTCTGGCCAAGCGCTCTTCAGCTGAGGAATCAGCCCCAGGGGAAACAAGAAGGGCCGGATCCCATCCAGGGCTGGAATCAGTCCCACAGACTAGGCCAAAGGGAAACAAGCTGAGCACGCCGGTGAAAGGGCGCACACAGGTAAAACGTTAAATCTCAGCTCTTTATTCGCTGCCTGGTTTCCTCGTCCCCTTTCCCAAGCGAATCACAAGAGCTAGCAGTACAAGGGAGTTGTTAAGAGGGTGACCCGAATACGAGGAGTCCTCCAAGAAGGCAGAGCAGGGCCAGACCAGAGGGGACGTGGGGCAGGGAGGCAGGTGCTGGCACCTCCTCCACCTGCCCCCAAGCTCCCCCTTGGGACGCAGCTCTGCGCCATCCTGCCCCAGGCACGGGGCAAACACCAGGCACTCCATCATCATCGGCCCTGATCCCAGGAAAGCTCCATCCCGAGCAGGAAATGCCTCCTCCTCTGTCCCATGGGGATGGCAGGCATCATGCAGTGATGCCTAGGGAGGGAGACAGGATCCCCAGGCAGCCACTGCCCCCCAGCCCAGCCCCTTTCCAATCGCCTTATTGCTATAGTCAGACCAGCAGAGCAGCCAGGATGAATTCAGGGACTCGTTATTTTTTGGAGAGGGGACAAGGATGTGTCCAAAACCCAGGACTGACCATCAAGAGAGAGGGCTCATGTCTTTCTCTTCCCTGCTGCAGGGGAAAGGAGGAAGCTGCTGTTTCTTGCCAGCCCAGCCAGTGGTCCAAGCAGCGTCTGGGTCCAGTGGAAAGGAGGGCTGACACAAACCAGGAGAGCTGTGCTTGTATCAAAGAGGAAACACACCGTCCACTGAAAGGCATCCTCACCTCTGCCAATGCTGTCAGCCTGGGCTGGAGCAGAGGCCATACAAACTCATTCTGCCTCTAGCAGCAGGGAGCGTGTGCGTGAGGGGGGAGGGGACAGAAACGCACAGGAAACCCCCTTCCCTCCCTCATCCCATCCCCTGTCCCCTCCCCGGGGCTCAGTTGCGTTGGCTGGCCAGCTCCTGGGAGATGAATTTCCGAAGGCGCTCGAGGTACTGGCTGTAGAGTTCAATGTCATTGTGCCCGGCCCCATCCACCCACAGCGGCTCCACAGCCTTGGGGCAGCGTTCAAAGAGTGCCAGGCCATGGGAGAAGTCGATGACTTCGTCCTCCGTGCCATGGATGATGAGGACGGGAGAGGTGATTTTGGAGATCTTCTCAATGCTGCCAAGGAGGTGGATGGGGAGAGATGAGACAAGGGGTGAATACAGAGATCAAGGCACCCCTATTAATCCTCCCCCACCCCAAAACACATCCCCTCAGGAAAAGGGATCACGAAATGCCCTTTGATCACAGCACAGCACAGGGAAACAGGGAGCTTCTGCCAAGGCTGAGCTCCAGGACATCCCCCCGCCGCGTGACAGACAAGGACTAGACAGCAGTGACAAAAGCCCTGTGGGACCTCGGCAGGGGCCAATGGAAACCACTCCAGGACAGTGCAAGCCCGGGCCCTTCCCGTAGCGGGATCAAGCATGCTTGGCTTTAAGGAGTGAAAACACGTCTGTTTGCAAGCCAGCCCCAAAGGGCCCAGGATATAAATGCCAAGTGAGGCCATCTGGGTGCAGAGCGTGGGCTGGTGACTCCCAGCCACGGCTTCCGGCTCAGGGATCAGCCCTCAAGCCCGGCCAAAGGGGAAAGGCAAAAGCAAGAGCTCATCCCACCACACTTGTCCCACTCCACATCCCCCTTCCATGCCATCACCTGGAGGCACTGCCTCTGTAGAGGGGGCAAAAGCCTTAGAAATTGCCCTTGGGAGAGAGAGAGGGGTCCCAGGAACCATCTGGACTTGTGATACCCAACAAGGGGCCACTTGGACAGCCCTGAGGTCGACAAGCAAAGATGTTGGGACAGGACGGCCAGGAAGTGATGCCACCAGGGGGTGTGGGGTGCAGACATGATGTGACCCTTGGAACAGGGCACAGTGACCCTGGGGAAGGTTGCTGATCCCCCAGAGGGGACCAAGTGCAAAGCAGGAAGATCCCGATGGGCACCTTCAGGCCTGCCATGGGAGATAGGTCCACAAGGTCCCATTTTTTGCCATAACCCCTTGTTGCAGCCCCCTGTTGCCACCAGGGCTGGGGTCCCAGATGGAGCTGGTCTGGGCACTGCCCCTCCAAAGTTGACCTTGTCCCAATCCTCTTTTCCCAGGCCACTCACTTGGGGAAGGCATCAAAGCAGTAGGTCTTCTTGGTCTCAGGGAAGGCAACTCTCATGCCAGAGGTGAGCGGGGAGTGGAGCACAATAGCTGCACACTCGTAGCGGGAGGCTAAATCCACTGTGGGCACTGTGCCTATGCTTTGTCCATACAAAATTATATTCTCCGGGCTGATCCCATACCTGGAAGAAGAGACAAGAGGGCAGGTCAATGCGCGAGCACTGAGTAGCAGTGTCACCCTGCTCTGGCCAAAACGTACCACAGAGAATGAGCCGCACAGGAGGGTGGTCCAGTCAGACAGGTCCAAACTCTGGCACTGAGCTGTACTGGGACAGGGCTACAGCATCGCTCAAAGACGAGTCCAAACCAGTTGCCCTGGATCCTGGCCTGTCTGCTAATGCTGGAGCAATTAGGGCTAATTGAGCCTTGCCCACACACCTGCTGCACATGGCTCCCTCAAACACAGTGCTGCCCTGGGGAGCGGGAATGGGGAAAGCGGGCCAAATTGCGAGATGAGTAGGGAGTCAGGCCTCACCCTCACAAGGAGTAGACTGATAGGTAGGCTTGCAGACCCCTGGGTGCTGCCCAGTGCCAGCCACGCACCCCACGTGCCTCCAGACGGGAGCCTCGCAGGGTTGATGCTGGTTACTGGGGCCTACTGCAAGCTGGACTTGGCTCAGGCCAGGGCAGAGGAGGGAGAGCACATCACCTGCAGGAGGCACGGAGCTGAGCACAGAAGGGAAGAGCCTGGGCAAGAGGGGGGCCACACACACTTGCACCAGTGCTGGGGACCACCACGTGCCCTTGACCTGGCAGTCTGAACTCCCCAGCCCAGACACAGCCCCATCCCTATCCGGATCCCTGATGTGAGCAGACCCCCTTTACCCCAGGCCTGCGGAAAGCCTCACTGGTGCCGTGAGCTGCCTGGGGGCACACGTCCTCCCAAGGCTTGAGCCACGACCCAGAGCGGGGCTCTGCCCCCCAGCAGCTCTTCCTGGAGCGGCTAGCTCTCCCCCACCCACCCAGCATCCCCACATGTCCCGGTCCCCCCGAGTCCTGCAGGGCTTTCCGGCCACCCCTTCCTGTTAACAAGCGGCCCGGGCCCCTCTCTGGGAGATTTCCTGTTTTCCAGAGTGCCGGCCTCCAGGGTTTTCCTGGCGACAGGCGTACACAGCCTCCCTTCCCCCACGTCTCTCTACTCCTAAGGCTCCCGCGGGGGCACACGGCTCCCAGAGGGGCCTGGGCAGAGCCACAAAGACTGAAAGCAATCGCACACCACACAAACATACCACACACCTCCACACGTGCGCCAGGGACACCTTAGTGACAGACAGCCATCACGCACCACCCACGCACACTCTGAGGACAGAGAACGTACGTGCTGGAGACACACCACACAAACACACGCTGTGTACTACACCCACATCTCCTGGGGCCGGAGATACAACTGCTGACTTGTGCTGCCTCTCAAGCCAGCCCCACAGGGCTGCTGCCGCCCCTAGCCTCCACCTGCCCGGGCAGAGCAACAGTTCCCGCTCTGTCCTGCCCTCCTCAGCCCAGCGCTTGACTCACCGCGTCCGCAGCGCCTGCCAAGCAGCGTCGATGTCGGAGTAGAGGTTCTTCTCCGAGGGCTTGCCCGTGCTCACGCCATAGCCTGAGTAGTCGTAGGAGAAGATGTTGCAGTTGATGCGCGTGCCCAGCCCTATGTAGAAACTGCTCATCTGCCCCAGGTCCACGGCGTTGCCGTGGGAGAAGAGCACTGTGAACCTGCAGGGAAGAGATGCACACGGTGGGGTTAATCAAGGACTCTGCCAAGGCATCACGTCGCTGCCCAGCCCTGGGGAGCAAGCTGGGGCGAGCAGCGCGCAGCTCAGGGACCCAACGTGCCCGGGCAGGGCTAGGCCAGGCCAGGATGAGTGCCTGGACAGGACAGCAGGGCAGCAGCAGCCTGGGATGTCCTCTTCGGAGACCGAAAACCAAACCCCAGCACACAAAGGGCCAACACACCTCTATCCACCAAAGAGGGTCCTTGCAACACCCGGGGCTAGCCCCAGGGATGCCCAGACAATCCTTACCACATGGAGCCCCCCCTCCCCCAAATGTCATCCACTGGCTAGAAGACACTCCCTGCTCTCCCCTGCTTGCCTCCTCTAACAGGCCCTGACTTTTTCCTTTCCTGGGGACCAACCCTCACCATTCTTATAGCAGAGGACGGCTAACAGGAAACCCTGCGCAAGGGGGGCTAAGCAGGGTCCTCCTTTGGGAAGCCAGGCCACAGCAGGGTTATCAAAGTCAGGAGCTCACTACCAGTAGAAACAGAGGCAGCTGAAAGGCAGGCTTATTCTGTTTAAGTTTTTGAGGCTATTTTTGGTAGAAAGCTCAGGATTTGGGGCCATTTGCCCAATGGGGATTTTCAGTAAAAATTCTGACAGTGAATTTTTTGCTCTCCTGTGTCTGGCAAGACGCCAGACACTGGGAGAAGTGAATTGTGGGAACAACAAGACAAGAAATTTCCACCATAAGGGGAAAAAAAACAATTTAATCATGAAAATTAACATGAATAACACTCTTAAAGCTTAGCTCCCTTTTGCCAGAGGAAGGGAACAGGACCCGCTCCCTGCTGAGCCCCTGCAGTTGCCATGAGATGTCTGCAGAGAGGTCAGATGTCCCAGCTGGGACGCCCTGCCGTTGCCAGTGGCCACAGCATTGCCAGGTGGCTATGTGCTTCGGTTTCTTACAGTAACCCCGTCATGATTGCCGGTCAGAGGTAGCCCAAGAAGGCACTGCGCGGGAACAAGGTACCTGGATGATGCTGGCAGGCTCAGGGAAGAGAGCAGGGGGGGGTGAATTTACACAACAGCAGGGAGGAAAGCGGGATGAGGGCAGGGCATCCCAAAAGCTGTATCAAAGGCTTCTCTCCTGCCTTTTGATAAAGCAAAAATAATGAACTCCAGTTTTGCTTTGCATCTTCCGCCATGCCAATGGCCAGGGCACTTGGGGGAATCCAAGCCCTTCATCTAGGAGCTGAGAGTCAAAAATACTTTAAACTGAGCTAAATCATGTTGACAGAGGGCTTGGAGACCCCCAATAACCAGGCATTTTCGTCATTCAGGCCCATGTGTGGAGGCTTCCACCCCAACCCCAGAGCAGTGGTTACTATGGGTCACCAGCTCCCACAAAACCTCCCCCATGGAAACAGATCCAGCCGAGTGGGGAGGGGGAAAGGGGCAGGGAAGGAAGCTAGGGGCAAGGACATGTTGAGGAAACCCCACAAAATGCAGGTCACGGAGGCACCTGGATGGATCCCAGAGGGGTCCTGGACAGCCAGGTGCTAGGGAAGCCACTGGCTGGTAAAAGGGCCCGCGGGGGGCGCAGCTGAGTGGGGAGGGGGAAAGGGGCAGGGAAGGAAGCTAGGGGCAAGGACATGTTGAGGAAACCCCACAAAATGCAGGTCACGGAGGCACCTGGATGGATCCCAGAGGGGTCCTGGACAGCCAGGTGCTAGGGAAGCCACTGGCTGTTAAAGGGCCCCGCTGGACAGACAGCACAGCCACGGAGGAGACGCTTCCTGGAGCAGGAAGGCAGTGGCAGGGAGGACAGATCGCAGCCACCAGGCAAGTGAAACTAGATGCCCCAGGGCTTGGGAGAGCCGGATCTCCCCCAGCCCAGGCCCTTCTTTCCAACCCTGCAGCTTGTGTGTAAGCCACCATTTCCGTGGGCAGACTGGGATGGGGGCCAGCACTGAGCCTCGCAGCTGCGGGGCTGCAGGCAGGCGGATGTGCACATAGAGCAATCTCGTCGCCGGTTTCCTCTCTCCAGGGACCCGCGACAAACGCGTCAGGGAGCGGGGGCTGGAGCAGACACCCCTATCGGGTGGCCTCTGGATGCCTCCTATAACAAATGGATGTCTCCAGACCCCTGCGAGGTAACGGTCCCGCCTTGCCTGCCTGTCCCACCTCTGCCCAGTGGCCTCGGAGCCCTTGGCAAGCAGAGGGGAGATACCCAAACAAGCGCCATTTCTGGGCTGCAAGACAGCGGCTGTATCACCTCACCTGGAGGTCTCTACGTTCATCCTTGGGGGACCCATTTGCTCCAGGAGATGGGAAGATACCCATGCTTGGAGTCAGCCAGGGTGCTGTGACCTTTGGAAAACTGAAGCCAGCAAAGGTAGCTCCAATCTGACCTCTTGCCACACCTCAGCCTCCCAAGGGCAGCTGTAACTCTGCTGACGCCACAAGGACACCCACCTAATCGCTGGCCCAGCCCCGGCTCACTTTGCTCCCAAGACGCCCGCCCCAGGCCCCAAGCAGAAAGGAACAAACGTACACAGGCCGTGGTGCCAAGGGCAGCCGCGTGGGGCCTCCCAGCTGTGCCGTCGGCTTAGGGAGCAGCTGCTGAGTTCCCTCACGTCCCCACGCCAGCTCCTCGTGCCCAGCCCAGCCACCAGCAGGTGGGGTGCAGACAGCCGTGAGAGGGTCTCCATCCCACACCCCAGCTACCCCTCTCCAGCTGTCCCAGCAGATCCCAGGAAGCTGCCACAAATTCCTGGAGGCTCTGGGCAATGCATCTCGCTCTCCTTCCTAAAAGGAGACGTGTTTCCCTAGAAAAGGGCCAGCCCAAGACCCTCAGGCACAAAGCCCGGTGCCACAGGACACCAAGCTCAGCACAAGTCTTGGAGGCTGCTGCAATGGCACAGAACAAAGGGCCACTGCGTAGCACCAGCTGGGCAGTAGCTCCAGGGCAGAACAGACACAGGGGCTGCTGTTCAGCCATCACAAATGGCTGCTTGCCAGGTGCAGAGGGTTCATGACATTGGTTAAATACCCGTGACTCCTTCCACAATAGATCAAATGCAAATCAAGTTCTTCTTGTTTTATGGTCACAGGAACCATCATGCCTGGGGGGTGACCTACAGCAGGCTGAACCTAAAGTCCTCCCAGTTTTCACTCCTATCACTCTGCTCCTCAAGAAATCAAGGCAAGTCAGCCAAAACAGGCAAACATGGTTCACTCCAAGGTTCATGGGCTTTTCTCCTTGGCTGTACGGACTCTAGCCTGTCCATGCTGTTACTGCTGCAGAGCCCCAGCACCTGAAGGGGTCAGCATGGGAGGGACCAGACAATCCAAGCTTGGCACATCAGCAGCAGGCCCGACAGCAACGCGGCACCCAGCAGGGCTGGGGGGACAAGGGGACAGCAAGGGGGCTGCACAGACTCTCCCCTGAAAGCCTCACACACGAGCTCGCACAACAATCGGAGCGTTACGTCACAAGCATGACATCAGAGGGACATTCCAGGACGGTGGAGGGAACCCTGGTGTCCAGAGAGGGAAGGCCAAAGTCCCTAGCCTTCAGCTTCGCCTTGACTTCCTCCCTCTCCCTGTTTAATCCCATTCCCAACGCCAGCCACAAACCAAACAGCTTCTGACAGCTGGGCCCGGCAGTCAGTGCTCACCCGCGCCACAGGATGCCTCTAAATCCCCATGATGGGGCCAGCTCCTTCAGCAAGGCACCAGATTTAGTGTAGGGTCAGGCCAGGGCAGGGAGGTAGCAATCAGCTGAAGTGAAGGAGGGGGCAGGATGGCACCATGCCCAGGGGCGGGGATGCTGTGCTAAACCCCAGGCAGCTGGCATCAAACCCCTGGCAGTGCCAGGCTGCCACATCCACCCATGACTTACCTGGCGCCTGGCACACAACGGACGTACATGCAACCGACGCGATTCCCTCGGCTGCTCTTGGTGACAAACACCTCGATGTTGTCCAGCTCCCGCTGGGTGTACTGGAAATCCGCCCGGTCCGTCAAATGCAGCTTCCAGCGTCCCACAGCACCTCCTCGCAGGGAGCCAGTGCTGGTGCTGCCCGCGGACTCGGGCTCAGGGACCATGGCGTACGTGGGCTCCGGGGGTAGGAAGGCCAGTTTGGCCGCAATACGACTGGGGCAGGGCGGGCAGCAAAAGAGGCAGCAGAGCTGGCTGACTGACAGCCCGTTCATGACGGCGGCTTCAGCGCTAAACCAAGCTGCGCCTGGAGCAAGCAAGGATCCAAATCAGACAGTCAGGGACCAGTGATGGCCTGGGAAAGCCTCTGTCCTCCACCTGCCCTCGTCACAGCTGCCAACAGAACAGGGCGGCCGGCAGTCTCCTGTGGACTGTGGCGGCTGCCGTCCGTCTGTCCATCAACAGCGGCGGTGGCCTGCAACCAGAAGGTCAGACAAACAATGAGGGAGGGGGAGGCTCCCCCCAAAGTTCACCACATGCACGCACCACAATTACAGCATATGTGATAAGCGTGACATCAGAGCATATGCCACAAGCGGGATGCACAGCCCAGCCCCACTCAGAGAGCAGGGACAAACACCCCCTGCCCAAACACAGGCCGTCCCCAACGCAGGTTACATCTCCTCTCCTCAAACTTGGATGGTTCGTTGCTTCTTCCACTGGCAAACACACACACAACCCTCACCCTATGCCACACACAACACGCATAGCACATCTCCCTCCCAGGCAGAGGGGCACAACGTCTTCCCCCAACAGACACACTGCTCCCTCCCCGCAGCGTGCGCCCGCCACCGAAAACCACACAGCCCACGCTCACGCTGAGCCCACACACGCACACCCACATGCTCCCCATCCAGAAAACCAAGCCCCAGCACTGTACAACACTTCACAGGCACGCACGCCCACACCCCCCCGAATCACACACCGCAACCCCCGCAGAGATTTGCAGCATCTTCACGCAGGCCCACGCCGGGGAAGCGAGGACAGCGGGCGCAGGACTTCTCGCAGGCACGCACACTCCCAGGTGGTCGGTGCTACAAAGGAAACGGCACCCCGACGTCCCCCCACAAACGCCGGCAGAGGCTGGCCCACATGCTCGCAGCTAGAATGCAAACCCCCAAAAAAAGCAAGAGAGGGGGAAGGGGGGGAAAAAAAAGCAACTATTTTCTGCAAGTTCGGGCACAGACTCGCTGTTGAGGAATGTCAAACCAGCCCACACCCCCAGGAATTCACTCCATCTGCTTCTGAAGGGCTGGGAAAGAAGAGGAAAGGGTGGAGGGAGAGAGGCCTGCCCATCCAGCCAGAAGGGGAAGGCATGCATGGAAATATTTCTCTCCAGAATAAATGGATTCCCCTCCCGCCCCTGGACACGCACACGTGCCCCGGCATGGCCGTAGTCCCCCCTCTTTGGAGGTGAATTCGGGTCTCCTTCAGGCCAGTGAGAATCCACGGTGGCTGATGTGACCCAGAGCCACGAGGGTGGCATCCTGGACATGCCAGCTCTGGGATCCTCCTGGCATAACCGGCTGCTCACCCCAAAGTGCCAGTGGAGCAGGGGGATGCACGCATCCCCCCGGGGCCACGACAGTCCCCACAACAGGCAACGGCTGCGAGGCAGGTCACACACCTGCCTGCAGGGACACGTATGGTGTGTCAGTACAGGCATGCAGAAACACATGGCTGTAGGCAGCACTGCAGAGCACACACACCGTGTGTCACACATGCACCTGGCAAATCCCGAGCCCCGGTGTCATTTTGGGGACACACACCACACAGGAAGCCCCCACCACTGGGGCTGGCACGCACCTCCGGGCGCTCGGGCCACCCGCAGGACCAAGTCCTCTGCCTTCAGGCCCACACTGACCCCACACCCCAGACCCACCAGCACACCAGGTTGCACGTCCAGACCCACATACACACTCACCCCATTGCGTGTGTCCATACACACACATACAGACCCCAGCCCCACATACCTCACTGATGGGGGTGTCCAGACCCCCTCACACACTGAGCCAGACCCACACACCCCCAAACCCACCCCATAAAGACCCCCTCCCCAGCCCCACACATCCCAGTGATGGGGGCATCCAGGCCCCCTCACGCACTAACCCTAGGCCCAGAACGTGAGTCCAGGTCTGGGTCCGGGTCCAGGCGCCTCCCCAACCTCCACAGACTAACCCGAGCACCACACTGACCTCCCAGCCCCACGAGCACCCCACCGATGGGGGTGTCCAGCCCCCCTTCACTGTCCCCAGGCCCATAAGCCCCACCGGTGGGGTTGTCCAGCCCCCCTTCACTGTCCCCAGGCCCATAAGCCCCACCG